AAATGCATAAGTGCAAGAATAGCTTTGTGTCAAAAAATTCCTTTTTTATTCTAAGAATAGGTGGCAAGTCCGTTGGAAATTTTGCACAGTTTTTATGTTGCCGGAATTTCCTATTGGTTCTTGCAGTATGTTTTCACTAAGAAGTCTTTGGATAGGGCTTTATTTGGGAGTTTTTCCTGGATATCTAATGTCTGCCTATAACAGAAACAAATCATCAGGTGGATCTGAAGAAGACCTGCTTCCACATAACGAGAAACCACTTCAGAAATCTCTTGAATGCCAACCAAGGCTGCACATCCTGAGCAGCCAAGGCCCAAGCACATGCATGTATGACTGCTTAGGCCTGGGCCCATGCAGTCTTTCCTGAGAAGAACAACTCCTTTCTGACAGATTTTCTCTTACATCCGGGAATGCTTTTTAGCCAGCCGGCAACAAGGAGGTATTTTCTCTCTGCCAGAAGACCATCATATGGGTCTCCTCAATGTCATGTGGACCCCAATACTCTTTTAAGCATGAAAAGTCAGAGACATCAACGTTTTTGCAGCAAGGCAGATGAGAAGGCCATGTATGTAACATGTCAACTGCAGGCCCAGTAAAACAAGCAAAGGAAAAGCTAAGCCACTGCTGTGTTCTTTCCTTTTCCGTATGCAGATACAGCCCTGCTGGCTCCTGGGAGGAAGAAGTCACCCAGGAGGAGTGTGAGATGGCTGTCAGGGAAGCACCACGCTCCTGAGAGGTAAGATGGCAGCGAGAGGCTGTTTCGGTAGCGCGAAGGCATGCGTGCAGGTACAGGGGCTATTTACCAGTCTATGGCTGACCTTCATTCCGCTGTTTGTGTCACAGCCATTCTGTTGTAGTCAACCTTGCCTCCTTTCAAAAAAAAGGGGCTTTTGTGTCCTTATTAACACTATTAGCACTGGCTGTTTTCTAATTCTGGATAATAATTGAGAAACTCTAATTACTGTAATTACTATGCTCCTGAGGTGAGGTTTTATTTTTTATAATTATTTCTAGTGATTTTTTTTGTAAATACTTTGTTATATTAAAAGCATGATAGACAATCATGAGTCCTCCAGCGCATTTATATATCAACCACCTCCACTGAATTTCATCAGTGCATTTCACCATTTATTAATCAGATATTACTCAATTTCTTCTGCCTCAAGCAAAAACAAGGAGTGGGAGAGAAAGTGACTACTGACAAATGACAAATGATGTGACATGCCAAGTTTGATTCTGCCAACCAAGTATTAGTACCAGCCCAACAAGAGCAAAGATGGAGGTGACAGCTAGATGGCACAATTGAATATATTCTAAATCTTCGCGACCTTCTTCTTCTAACTCTTTGAGGAGGAAAGAAGTGTTTTAATGTGTGCAAACATTGAAACACTTCAAGAAGCAACTTGAGACTTTGACCAGTACATAAAGACCTTGATCCAGTTCCCATTGCTTTCCACACAAGGATCCAGCTCTGTCTTTTGGAGTCTGTACTCCAGAGCAGTCTCTTGGAATGAGCAAGATGTTCTCTTGTGTATATTTTCCCATCATTCCTACACTGGTGGGATAAAAAGTTTTGCTTCTTCTAGAATAATCCACCAGATTATGCTCAGTCTCTCAGGAAAAGATGTTGTCTGAACTTACCCTACTATCTTCAGTTGCTCTACCACTTACAAACATGACCATGGAGGTCTCTTGGATTAACATAATCCAAAATATATTATTTTGAAATACCTTGTGGTCACATTGATATATTTTTATGAGTCTTGGTTTTGCTTTTTTCCTCTTGGTGTGCGGTTTGGAAAATTCTGATTCTTGCACTAAAATGTAGGCATATTATACCATTAATTACTTGTCATTCCTTTTTGTGAACTTCATTGTGAGTGGAAAGTTGTTGACCCCAGCATGAAGACGGACTTTTTTCCAAGGCTGCTTCAAGGGCTGCTTATTTGTTCAGATATTTTGTAAAAGTTCTTATGTCAACCTAGGCCAATTTTAACTAAAATCCACTTCATCATCTGTTATCAAAGAACTGTTCATGCAACTCAGCAACGATTTTTCTAAATGACTGTGAGACCTCATTTAGATTTTAATAAACAGTCACATTCTAATGAGGTCTTCATAAAACTGACTAAATATGTTTAGAAATCATTAGCTTAAATTACCAGTACAAAAGTCTCCTTAGGGAGCCCTGCAGATTTTGTGATAAGACTTCTGGCAGATGGATTAGTATAACAGCACAAGTGAGTTCTGAATTTCCACACAAGCAGTGTAAATGTGAGTGACTGGGTAACAGGCTACTAGATAAAGAGCTTAATGTCCCTCAGGTGGGTTCATTAAAGAGAGAAAACAATCAAAACACATTTCTGTGCCATTTAAATACCAGGTGCACAGCAGTCTGCAGGTGCCAGAAACATTGACAAGGGTCCCTTGCTGGAACACACACGAGCTTAAAGGGATGCACGGTTTTGACAAGTGTGCCTCAGATAATGACAGATATTGGCAGATGTACCCGGACCCTGCTGGAGGGTAATGCGGGGACTGAGTCATTTGCAGCAGGTGCTTGTGTTAGGGACAGCCTCATGGTGATTCCTCCATCCGCAATTAAAACAGTCCTGATGCATAATGCTCCAGGGCAAGAAGCAAGTTCCTAGCACTGATTTAATGACTATCCAGCCAGTCCTGGTAAACAAATACACATACGCCCCCTCAATGATTAATTCATGAAGGACATACACTGTGTGGCAAACATGTTAAACAGATATTCCTCTTTCCTGAAAATATAAAGGAATTTCCCTCCTCGGCGTACAATTGGTCAAGAGGGTTAAAAAAATAAAAATAATAAACCCCTATAAATCGTCTATCAGCAAGAGCAATTGAAATAGAAAACCTCAAGGTTGGGAAGGTGACAAGGTTTGCCATGCAGGAATGCTACCAAAAGGTCCATTAAAATCATTACTAATCAAGGTGGTGCAGAGCTTGTGTTAGGGGTTGCGGGACAGATGGTGTGTTTGTAATACGCCTCCTTGTTGCTGATGGTTCCAGCGCTGGGAGTGGGACAGAAGCACCAACAGAGGAGTGGCTGCATTGTTCTGTGGCTCATACGATCTCATTTCCATTAAAAGCTCATTTCATTTTCTGCTCTCTGATCTCACCTATGTTGGCCTCCAGAGAAAAGTGAGAACAAAGTCATTTCTACCGCTGCCAGAAACAACAAAGCTGCAGATCTGTATCCCACTAGGACTCTTGCACCCTGAAGAAATCTCCATGGTGGCCCAAACTGTTGCTTGCTGCTAAGGGAATGTGCTGCGTACCTAAACGCTGTGAGTTGAGGCTGCCAACACTGGCACCAAGACTGGCATCTCCCTGGCTGATACCTGACAGGACACTCTAATTGATGCTTTCAAATACTGACTTTAGGAAAACAGTATGCGGTTTCATGCAGTATGCTATTTTTGTTCTAAGGCTTGTGTACCCTTACCCTGAAAACATCCCTTTTAAAGTTGTGTGCTTGGGTACTTATGAATGTGTAAAAAGCTTTAACAAAGAGGTTTGCTGGAGAGCTTCCTATTCTTACAAATCCATCCGTTTTGAATTGATATGTGACCATCCAACTATTTCTACCTTCTTCCTCACTCAAGGGACTGAATTTTTAAAGCGGCCTCCATGATCCTTTTTTGTCTCTGCAATTAGTCGTACATGTGTTCCTGCAGCAGGTGTTAATTGCAGTCACAAACCCCATCTTTTTTATATCTAAAAATAATACTGGCACCTGATCTGTTGGCAGGCTTAGGCACACAGATATCTAAACGTTAGGATTTATGTTAACAATTGGCAAAGGACATAAGGAAGACTAAACTGAGATTGTAAAACTGGACTTGCTAAAAAGGAGACAAGATCCAACAGTTTGACTCACACCACATAAACAGTGCTCGCTCTCCTCATGCAAATGCCACAGGGCAGAGGGGTATCAGCCACTCCACCACTATGAAATTAAAAACATCTCTTAAAACCATGTTTTATCTTGGCTCACACCAAGATATGTGCACTTGACTTCTTATTTCAACACTTTGATTTACAATAATTGCAGTAGTTGCAATAAAAGCAGTGGTGGGGGTTTTGGTTTTGGTTTTTTTTTTTTTTTTTTTTTCATTCCAAATGAAAGCTAGATGCCCAGTTCCCAAGCAAATTTTCTTGGAAAAAACATCCCAGATGAGACCTAAGACACCAGTGCATAGATAAAGCAGTAAATTAAAAGACTCAGTTATTGACGGTTGTGAGAAACAAAGAAAATGGTTCCATTCAATACTTGTTGAAAACAAAATTAGCCATAATGACTTGAGTAGGAGGCCTGCTTTAGAAGTTAACAAGCAGAGACAGAAAAGTACACAGTATCAGCCAGGTAACTCAGGCTTTCCTTTACTACTCAGCTCCCGAAGAAGACCTCTTGGTCAACAAATTTAATGTACTAATGAGTAAAACTAATTTTTTCTGTTTTAGTCCAGAAGGCTTACAGGAAGGAAAATGCAAACAAACCAGATATTGATTTAGACTAATATACTATGAAGAAGGTGCAATTTCATAGTTTGACTACTTATCTCAGTAATCTGTTTCAGAATTACTCCCCCTCAGCCTCCCTTTAAAAAAAGATGAGTCCATACCTTGTTCTGTAACCAATTCCCTGGTTTCCCTTAATAGAAATGGTATGTCCAAGATATATACAAAGATATGACGCTTTCCCTCCTTGGCAGTCTTTGCAGGCTGTGCTTTACCGAATGCAGCTTTATCGGTTATTTTTTCATTGTCCTAATGTTATCAAAGCCAAGCATCCAAGGCATGTTTAAAAATAATTGATAATGAACCTCTTAGCATAGTCAGTCATAAATATTTTATGTGCTATACTCAGTTACTCAGTATATAAGCATCTTGTTGGTCTGCTATTTAATTTCCAAAAGCAAACACCTTGGAAGTCTTTCATCGTTTTAAGTACAAAAATCACTTACCCTTCCCACTTCTACGAGATTAGTAACCATGATAATGCTGGCTGTGTTTTCATGCCATACCATTCTCCAAAAGTCATATATTGTCTCCTGCATTGGTCCTGAAACAATAAATCAAAGGAAAAGTTACTATCTGAAAGTCTCATGATTGGAAGCTTGTCTCTGGGGTACTCCGAGAAACCGTGACTATACACATATATTCATATCACTATCATCATATTTTTCATTTAGGGTCAATTTCTTTTCTGTCATCCCACCTACCTGCATTTAAGTATTTTTCCCCTGAAACAGTGCTCTGACAGAAAGTTAGTTCTCCAGCATTTAGGTATTTATCTCCGTAATACCCAGAAGTGGAATTATAAAAAATGGGTAACATTACTCTTTCTCTTAACAAGTGGATGATAACCTAGGGAAGGTGTATTTGGAATGAAATGAGCCTCAATGGACTATGTGGCCTTTCCTGGTTTCTAATATTTTTCTTAGTATACACTATCTATCAAATTACCCCAGCTCCTAAATTGTACTTCCTGAAGTGAGACAGAAGTTATAGTTTTTTCCCTGCAGTAGATCACTTTGCAAAACAGCGGGGAAAGTGGTAAAGAACCCTGGGATGCCATGGCAGCCACGGCCACTGCAGCGCTTTCCCCAACAACCTGTGCACTTTCGTAGGCGAACACACAGAACTTCCTCTAGCGTCACGCTAAAGCTGAGTACCAGCCCACAGGAAATGTTACAGAAATGTAAAATGTTGAGAACAACCACATCACTTTGCATATGCTGGGTCCTGTCTGTTTCTAACGCACACGTCTTACCCATGACGTTCGGTGCGTCACTCTGATTTTAAACCACTGCTTTAAAATCACTGATCCAATAGAATAAGCAAATGTGAAACACTATCAGGTACTATAAACTTAACATTGATACTGAATCCATTACTGAACTGCCACACTGCAGGAAGCAATTAGTGGTTTATTTAGAGGAACGCCTTAAAACAGCTAATAGGAGGACAAATGGATAATGTATTGGCCTAAATGTTCCTCTAGTGAACAAACCAACATGCTTAAAGCATTACAAAACCATACATTGACAGATTTGGGTAGTTTGGCACCAATGTTTTGGTACTTTGAGCTCACTTTGAAAACTAAATTTTCACTCTGAAAGACAAATACTTCGTGAAAAATGTAGTGATATATTATTATTTGTCCTGGTTTCAGCTGGGACAGAGTTAATTTTCTTCCTAGTAGTGGGTATAGTGCTGTATTTTGGATTTAAGATGAGAACGTTGATAACACACTGGTATTCTGGTTGTTGCTAGACAATTTTTTCACTAAGTCAAGGACTTTTCAGCTTCTTGTACTGCCCCATCAGCGAGGAGGCTGGGGGTGCTCAAGCAGCTGGGAGGGGACACGGCCAGGACAGTTGACCCAAACTGGTGAAAGGGATATTCCATACATATGATGTCATGCTCAGTATGTAATTCGGGAGAAGCTGGCTGGGGGTTTAGACCATGGCCCGGGAACTAGCTGGGCATTGATGGTCTGTGGGTGGTGAGCAACTGTGCTGTGCATCACTTGTTTTGTGTATTCTTTTATCATCATTAGTATTATTTATCATCATCATCATCATCTTCCTTTTCTATCATATGAAACTGTCTTTATCTCAACCCATGAATTTTACTTTCTTTTTTCCCGATTCTGTCACCTATCCCACCGCGGGGAGGGGAGTGAGTGAATGGCTGTGTGGGTGTTTTAGCTGCCGGCTGAGTTAAACCACGACATTATTATATTATCATGGCAGGGGGTTGGACTAGATGAACTTTGAAGGTCCCTTCCAATCCAAACCATTCTGTAATTCTATGACTTTGTGATTTTACGATATTAAGGCAAGTCAAAACCAACTCACTAGGCAAATAACATCACAGTTATGACATAACTTACTTAGAACTGCAGTTTAAGATGATGGTAATAGTCTAAAACCTCTGAGTTTTTAAGATTTCTTTTTATTTTCTGCAATTTCAAAGGACAATTTTATCATCCATAATTTGCACAGACCATTTAAAGAAGTTATGTATTCCCCCCCTTACTTTCTCTGCTTTTAAAAATGCTGAATATAGTTTCACAGGTTTCTCTATAGTCACTCAGGTTGTCTTTTACTTGCTTTGGTGGTTCATATAACAGGAGAAAAAGCCATTTAAAAAACCAGGAAGCTATGACTGTTAGAACACAAGAAATGTCAGAAGGTCTCAGAGTAGAAATATCAGGAGAATCTACAAGTACAGTTTCTGAAATTACCAAATTTGAGCTGATGTTGTGGCTACAAAACTGGCACCTTTTTTTTTTTTTCTTTCTTTTAATTTACAGCATAAAACAGTTGATACTTTTGTGAGATTTCATTCTGAAGTATGACAAGAGTTAAGTCACTCTCCACCATATGGGAACTTACAATAAGTAATTTACATCTGCTTAAGTGTCCTGGATATGTAATACAGACATGGTCCGAGTGCAATTTTGAATGTCACAGTAAGATAATTAATATACATTATAGCGAGAGTTTAACTTGCTTGTGTTTTAATAATGTGGGATTCAATATAGCTTTTTGGGCAATTAAAGTCACAATAGCATTAGAAAGGTTTTGGGCCAACCTCTCCTACTGGTAAAAGGAAGGAGACTATTTTACTCACTGTAGGAAAATACTACCTCTGTATAGCTCCTTCCTTCCTCTCAAATCTCAAACAAGTATTCAGCAAAATTACTATTGCTATCATCTTGGAAGGAGTGTAGCTAAAAATAGGATTAGGGAAAGGCAGTTGTCCACAGAGCAGTGTCCTGGAGAGAGTCTGCCTATTCATGATACATTATTAAGATTATTTAAGCTTGATCGAGGACAAAAAATAACAACACTATTGCTTCAAGAATCCTGATTTGCAACCTGGTTTAATGGAGAAAATCTAAATGGCTCCACCGCATTCTGTCACCACAGGTTTATGTGATGTTTCAACATTATGCATCTGCATATGTTTTCAGTAAAGCTGCAGGAAAGGTGAGAAAAGATCCTCTGTCCACACAGCCCTCTTCCTTCCCTTGCAAGAAGCCAGAATCTTTGAGAAACTGAGGGGCAATGTAGCAAGTTTCTTTATGTATTATTTCAGTTTTCTTTCCTATGGATTCACTTGAGATACAAGATGGTTGGGCCCTACTTTGTAACAGTCATTTCCTTTTGACAGCTCTGGCATAATCTGCAACAATTTATTCCTGGGTTTTTTGTTTGGGGTTTTTTTGTGGTTTTTTTTTTTTTTTTTCCTAGAGACATCATAATTTGTCTTGTGATTTAACAATTCCTACATTTCAGATCCTGAAATCACCAATTACAACTGGGGAGAGATCCTAAACACTAATTTCTTCCTGAGATTTTGAATTTGTCAGTCTTTATAAAGAAAAAAAAAGATAATAAATTATGAGAAAAATCAGTCTTTAGAAAAAGTAATAGCATTTTTCAGGCCAGAGAAAGAGCTGAGCTCTGATAAGTCTTTCAAGCTTGATTCCAAATATTCTTCTAGAAGAAATGTACTATTCTGCAGTGCAGAGTACACTCTTCTCAGTCTTACTATCCAAATGATAAGACAATCATAATTAAAAGTGCTTGAGAGGGTTTCCTGCTCTCCTCAAGCATCCTCAAGTGTTTTCTTGCTTTTCCTCTCCAATTCTTACATGTAGCCTCCAAAATTCTTTCACGTTCAGGACACTGAAAGAAAAAAACCCACCCAAAAACCTACCTTAAAGTGTCAGAAAGTAATTCTTTTCTACCCCATTTTTCTTTTCTTCTTGACATTTTTCAAATTATTTTCTGACATATGAATAAATTATTACTTGTCTCCAGCCAGAATTGAAAAGCATTAGAGGCTAGGTAGGGTTGGAGGATTTATTGTCATGAAGAACTGAACAATTTGATTCCAGAGACTTGTGGTAGGGAGAGAAAGAGCCTATAATTGTTCTAAGCATCAACTTAACAGATGTGTGCACAATAGGCAGGAAGGTTATTCTCAGCAGTTGCCCCCTTGCGGGAGGAGAAGGTCTGAAGAGAAGGTACTGTGCTGCCTAACAGTAAGCCTGCGGCGTAACCCATTAGCTACACAATATAGTAGTTGATATCAAAGATTTCTACTGTGAAAAAAAAAAGAAGAAAGAAATCAACAACATACTGCAACCAGAAGATGAAAAGCAAAGGAAAAGAAGAAAAAGAAACCAACTCTCCAAACCTCAAGCTAATTAAAAGCATTATTGAAAAAAACTCAACAGAAATGATCGGTTGTATATATCACAACTGTTAGTTGTATTACTAGCAGTTGTTAGTTGCTGCTCTGGGAATGCAAACATATTGGGAAATGGAAAATCACACAGCTTTTAAGAATGGTTTAAACTTTTAAGAAGCTGCTTCTGTAGAGAGAGCTTTCTAGAGCCTCTATTTCTGCTTGTTATTGTGAGATCCAGTTCTAACAACTGGCATTGCTGCTGGGGTATGTGATCAATTTGAACGTGATAAACTAGCCCAGAATACAGGAAAAAGTGTTCAGATGTAGGAAAGAAAGCAAACACACAAAGAAACAAGTAAAACCTGAATCCTGAAATAGTCCCAGCACTTACTCAGATGGGACTTGTAAATCTATGGGTCATTTTTCAATTTCTAGAAAAGCAAGCAGCTTAAACAAGGAACAAATAGCTTCTAAAACATTTTTCTAGCATAGAATGTCAAATCCACGAGCTAATGCTGGGTCCACCTGAGACCAAATCCAATGATAGCTATTAAAGCTAGAAGCGTGCAGGAAATGAATAGATACCTTTAAGGTCCAAAGGCTCCCCAGGGACAGTGCAGGGGCAGTGGTAGCCGTGAGCATGTGTTGATGGAGGCAGCGGACTGACAAGATGCAAGACTTATATGTGCAGCAGTTAAACTCCATCTTGAGCAGAGTGCAATAAACCTCCTTCCAGTGAGTAGATGCGTCCACCCAGCATGAGGAGGTGGTTATAAAGTGGTCCCCTCACCTCACAGTTACTGCAGTTTCTAGTAGCAATGATAACCGTCTTCACTTTTTACTGAAGCAAAG